CGTCCCTCAAATTCTCTCAGCATATAGATGTTGTTGTCAGAAAGGCGTATAATGTTTTGTATGCCATTTTTCGATCCATACACTCCCAAGATAAGACTATCTACAAAAAGTTATACAAAGCCTATGTCCTGCCCCATCTCGAATACTGCTCGCAGGTGTGGAATCCACACCTCAGGAAAGATGTCAAAAAGATAGAGAAAGTTCAGCAAACTTTCACGCGTTTGCTTTACTTTAGATGCTACAGAGGCATGACCATTAGCAACATTCCATCTTACAATGACCGTCTTAGGGAACTAAATATGATGAGCCTAGAACACCGTAGGAAAATAGCTGACTTGATTTTTTGCTTTCGAGTATTACGTAAGGAACTCAGACTTTCAGCAAGCAAATACTGGATATTTATGCCTAGCAGCTCACGGTCTTTTTCGCTCAATTTGCATTACACCAGAATAAAAAGAAAAAAATTCATGCTGGCGTACAACAATCTATTCCATCGAGGAGCGAGGTGGTTACAGCATCTCCCTTCAAGTGTTCTTGGTTCTTCCAGTGCTTCCAGCTTCAAACTGGGACTGAGGAAAGTTAATCTGGATGTACTCTTAGATTCGTAGTTATATTTTGTTTCTCATGCTTTTATTTTTCAGCGGAACCGGAGAAACTACGTCGAAGATAATTGAATCTTGATTTTACATCGACATTACTGGTGTCGTAAACAATTGTCTAGATCAATCTTGTCTGTTGCTAGCTTTCGGACTTTGAATGGTTTCTACGGCTGTTGTGTTGTTTATCTATTTATTACGTTGTTTGTTTTATTTTTTTGTGTTGCTTTACATAGGTTTTCGCAACTTAATTCCTCGGATATCTCTTGTATTCCGATGAATCTTGCTCATCTCTAGAACAGAATCATCATTATTCGTGGGTTACGTCAGCTAGCCTGGCACCGGGGGCTCGCTGACACTCTAAATCGGGAACTATCAAAGTTTTAGAGATGGCAAGGCTTCAGTTATAATTGGTTGCGTCTTGAATCGGACTTAGTGCCTTCTTGTTTGATGTTTGGTTGCTTTTTGGTGCACCTAGAGTGTAAACTAAAATAAATAAATAAATAAATAAATAAATACAAGAGGTAGCTTACTAGGCCTACTCTTGATTTCCACGGGGTGATCGCTGACCCCGGGCTTGGAGCGGGGAGGGACCGCCTAGCGACCAGAAGAAGCCAGACGGCGGAGAATCTGGCGCGGCCAGTTCTTAGCTAGGCATCCGGCCGAAACCGGAAACGTCGAACTCCTTCACAGCTTGGGAGGCCCTACCAGAGTATACACTCGGCTGTGCATCGCAGTTCGACACCCAGTGTCACCCCCACGCCACGATGAGGCGACCGACCATTGTGGGGGGTTTGTTCTCCACTTCCATGTATTCTGTCTTCCTGGTGTTGGACTTCAGGCCATACAACTTTAACCTGTTCTTCCAGTTTTGTACCTCGTCTTGTAACCGTAACGTCTTTCTGGGACTTGCTATCAAGACCACATCATCTGCGTAGAGAAGTGCCCAAGAAGGATCAAGTCTGAGCGATTTTATCACGGCGTTCATCACAGTGATGAAGGGCAAGGGAGAGAGAATTGAACCTTGGTGTACTCCCTTGATTTGGAACTCTTTCGATTGCCCTGCAGCTGTTTGCACGTGATTTGAAGCTCTGTGATAGATCAACTTTATCCACTGAACGTACTCCTCGGCACCCTATGTTCCCGTTAAGCCCACCACTCTCCTGTCTAGATGTAAACATAAAAGAAGGAAATGCTTTTGAATTTCTGTGCGCTGATGGGCAAAAATGACGGAGGCTATGCGCAAGTTATTGACACAGTTTATTGCGTTCCTCTTGTTCGTCACTCGTCATATGATTGTGTTTTGTTTGTAAACAAGGCTTTTGTTTGTCTGGGGCGAAATTCAAAGTCCTGCGCTGTATAGCACCGGCATGTCGGCGACATACCGTTTGCATGCGAGTGGCATACTGGAGGCATGCTAATGCACAGAGGTATAAAGAGTAAGCATGCCGGCGGCTTGCCGGCCTCGTGTTGGCGGCGTGCCCCTCCTAGAAAACAGCGGCATCTAACTCGCAAACACAATATCCCCTTTGCTTTCCGCCCTAAAAACGGATCCAGCTTGACTGCCAGCTTAGCCGAGCCCTGGTACTCTGCCGTAGGACTGGATTTCAAACAGATGGAGAGCCTCACCAGGGGCACTAATTTTCCAGCTTTCCGACCCTATTTCTTATAATCAAACGTTGAGGTTTCGCACATGCGCATGGCTTTGAAGGGGCCCACTTCCGCATGGCACTGAAATCCCAAAAATTCTACCTTGTCTGGATACTAATTCCAAGCTTATCGCGAACGCTTTCGCGAGCGTACCACTCAAAGGCAGCGTCCCGGCAGATTTTGCATTTCCATCTTTTTGCATGTTTTGGGCCTTCTCGACCCGTAGATCCCGAATCTGAGCTTTAAAAGGGGTGAAAAGGCCTTTTTCGGGCGTTTTTTTTTCAATTTCCAAAAGGCGGCTGGGACGAGAATTTTCAATGAAGACCCTGCTGCCTGTAATTTTGGCTTTGTATAGCATGCACAATGCGGGAAAGCGCCGTCTAGCGGAGAATACTCGTCCGAACAAGGAGTTAAGGGAGCGAAAGGAGGAAGGGGAGCGGCGCTTGGCCCCCTGGCTTGCAGAGTTCACATTTTCGGCGCCGAGTTGCTGTTTTGGTTCACTTGGAGGGCCTCCTCTCCATCTGTGTCAAAATGTAAGGTAGGTCAATCTGCCGAGCCGCTGCCTTTAAGTCTGCCGCATCGATCGGAGAGCGTTGAGCATACCCAAGCACTGCGGATGCGTGGCTACTACGAAAAGGAAACTCGTCGTTGATACCTGCTGTATATGTCCAACTGCGCAGTAATTCTAGACAGCATAAGTAATTCTAGAACATTAGTTGCGATTGGGCAGCGAAGTTGAGCTTTGAAGGGCAAAGTCATTCGTATATACCCAACGCGAGTGAGTTTGAACATCTCCACAAACCTTCGGAAAGTATCTAAAGTAAAGTTCTGCTCAAAGCAGATGGCATGACCCCAGATCTACCAAGCCACTGCAAAAGCGAAACAAGTCCATCCGTTAGGGACTTGTCATACTTCGCCGAGAAAAGCCCAAAAAAGCCGGAAAAAGCCCAAAGAGCCGGGACGCAGAATCGAACTTGGTAGAATTCTGACATATTTTGATGTGCAGACGACATAAAATGAAGCAAAAAGACTCCTTTGCGAAATCAACACACAAGCTTTAGCATCAAAACGGAAGGGGTGTTTCGGCCCTTTTGGGTTTTCAGACTTCTTTGGGCTTTTTTGGCGAAGTATGACGGGTCCCTCCCTTATCGAATCTCTGCAAGGCTTCGGCCAATTCATAGATGAGAGTGAACAATACCTCGCTAGCTATAAGGCAACTTTATTGGTTCAAGGCATGCAGAAAGTGAAGAAAAACAACAACAACAACAACAACAACAACGTAACCGTTCAAGATGGGATGAATGTTCTGCTCCATTCAGGAGCGATATGAGCATATCGCTCTTTCACATCCTTTGCAGTTTCCTTACCACATTTCATCACATAAACAAAGTAACGAAAGTGCTCGCCAAATTCGTGCACCTCTACAGACCAACATGGTATCCGAAGCAGCGCTGGCACGCGGAAATGGGGTTGTGTAAACGAAATCGATATGAAGATTCCTGCAATTTAGCGAATATTTGGTTAAACTTCTTCAAAATATATGTCAAATGTATACCATCATCGGTCAGCACACGCACTACTGACTTCATAACGCTTTCGAGTGTTTCAAGAGCAGCATCGGAAGGACTCCATGGGCTCTAATCATGCGTTTGACACTGGTAAAAAAATTGGATGAAATAACTACTTTTTCTGTGACGAGCAATGCCTCCAATGTAGCTTTCTCGAGAACGACATCGAACGAATTGGAATGGATAGAATCCAGGGAACGGATATCATCACAGATCCACTTCATCTCTGGGTAAAGTCTCTGTTTGGTACCAATCAAAACCTGCAGCACGATGCTATTGTGTATCGATTTGTAGCACTTATGCACTACTATACCTGTTACCTCTGAGTAATCTACATTGGTAATGCTTCTATAGCCCAAATCAAACAACTGCATGGACATTAGACTGGAACCGCATCCGATGTGTAAAATCCTAGATGCTTTCAAATGGTATTTGGAAAATGTATGCTGACTTAGCATGAAGAAGTAGTGTTATTATCCTTCAAGCAGAATTATCAGTGACATAGCAAAATACCTCGAATCTATTCTGAGATTTGGTAAGATAAGATGCTTGAAAGCACTGAAATCAGCCAACCATTCGAATTCTTCCTCATTCTTGAACCTCTCTTCCCAATATTCCCTACTCGCGTACTGGCGATTGTCATCCATGTTCTTTGAAGATAAGAATCTATGCACATCTAGGTGCAGAAGAAGAAACGTTGCATCAAGTAATGATACCGAGAAACTTGCTGACCATAAGAAAACCTGACACAACACAAACTTTTTTAGACCATTTATGTTCCACGATAACAAAACAACAAGATCAGAATATGCACGTATCTGTTACAAAGAAAAAAGAAAAGAAACTACTAATACATGGAGACAGCTAATGAAAACCATGAAGGAAATAAACAGACCAAATACAGACGTGCCAAAAGCCGTATGCGCATGTGCATGCATACACGCAACCACGACGACCACACTGACGCTGGCAGTTCCCGTACCCCCTCCTTGATTAAATAGTAGAGCATTCAAGTTCTCACAAACCTCAACATTTTAGCACAAACAACAATCACATGATGACTGAGTGAGGAAAATCAACATTGTCAACAGATAACTTGATTTAAACAATAAGATCGAATCTTGGTAACTACGCCAAGTATATAACCACAACATCAAAGAGGTAAGCTAAATTCGGAGGGGGTTTCCTATATAGGTTCTGCCTGCGCCCCGGATGAGGCCACATCACTTTCCGGCCTGCAAAATCAAAACTGCAACCTAGTTAATTGAAACTAGAGGTTAGTAAAACGATTAGTCGCGGTATGCATTTGGGGACTCGCAAGCAACGTTAATACCGTTGGGCAAGCACGCTCCATCTTACAATTTTGCGTACGCAAAGCAAAAATAAAATAAAGGAAAATAAATCCATAAATAAATTACAGCGTGTCGACATTTGACAATAGTACAAGCATACAAATGCGATGCCATTTTGCATGCAATGTAAAACACATAGAACACGAAATGGAGTGTGGATGGTTCCACTCACGTGTAAGAATGGAAGCCACGAGGACGCCTGAAATGACATATATCAGGTTAGTGAATAAATATGAATATGGAGAGAATGTGAGCAGGAACGAACGCATCGCTACGTTTTACTCATCATACTTACCGAAGACCGCGAGCTCCACGAGGGCGATACCCTCCCACAGGAACGTATTTGATGATGTAGCCTGGAGGAGCTCCGCCAAACCCGCCCCTTCCGCGATAACCGCGTCCACGAGGAGGACGATTGGTTGTAGAAATACCTGGGCGATTAGTGCGCTTCTCCATTACCTAAAAAGGTCTCTTCCAGTGTGACAACATTATGGCATTGAGTTACCTTTATTTGTCGGCCCTTTAGAAGACTATCCGTCATTGCTAAAGCCATCTGCATCCCTTCTTTATCAGCAAACTCTGCGTATGCAAATCTGAAAAACAATGAATTCAGCAAATCCGGGTCATGGATAACATAAAAACTAAGAGGCCTTAGAAAATTGCATCAGACCGAACTTGAGGTTTCATACGCATTAGAATTCGAAAAGCGGGTTTCATGAAGTTACACGAAACAGCCAAGTTGCCTGGCCAATGCATTTGAGCACCAATGTCCAGCCATGTTGAAGATGGACATAACATTCACTTTCTTTTTGGGTGCTCTAGACTTTCAAAAACTGGATACTAGAAACCGATGATTAAAAATGCAGGACAATTATTACTACCAGTAACAAAATTACCGTCCTGCAGAGGCAAAATGGTAGAACCTCTGGATCTTCCTAAAAAAATTTCTGAGTAAGGGAGTCAAAAACTGTGTCCGAGCGCATCGCAGCTACTTGAGTATGCTACTACAGAACAAGCACGTACTATCTTGACTTATAATAAGCGGCTTAATCTGAAGTTGTGTGGAGTTTGTCCGTTACGAAATTACAGTGAGGAATGATTTACGATACTAAACATCATGTGAGTTTAAATAGCGAGTATGGTTCATTTTTAACTACGGCTCACGTTGCAATAAACCGAACAATGATTTGAGAGACAAGCTCTCAGAAAGTGAGTTTACTACGGTTCACGATGCCAGTGCGAACCTCTGCGAAGCAGAGGTGAAGCACTGGTCTATATATATAAAACTCAATGTCTGTGAGGATGTTCGTTTAGTTGTTCGTTCGTTATAGAAACGCGCGCCACTGAACCGATCCAGCTGAAACTTCGCACACGCATGTTTTCGACCCCGGCGGTGGTTTAGAGCTACTTTCCGCGGCGATTTGCCGAGCCATTCTATCGATTTATTGATTTGTTTACTCAAACCCTAAGAAAATGAAGGGCCATCATGGCAACCGATCATTTTTACATATAAGCATGTAAGCAGGGGCGGTAAAGTTCATTCTATATCAAGGCTGATAGGATGCAGCGGGTTCGTCTCAAAGCGCTTTTCGCGCAATGTAGAAGTTAGAAAGTGTAAGTATGTTGGCTTCCAGATTCGTGTGGAGGCGGGCTGTGGACTTCAGTGACTTCAAGGATAAGCTCGACGAGAAAGTACGAATTTTAATGCCTTAACGTAGAGGTTTCACAAGTTTATCTTAAAGATCAGGGAAGTTTGCAACCCGCCTCTATACGAATGGGAGCCGATGACATGTTGGTTAAAGGCAGTGTCCGGGCAAAAACTCGATTTTGAGATTTTGTGCTTATGCGGGCCTATTCGCCACGCTGAATCCGAAAATGCACATTGTAGAGCGCGAAAATGGCGAAAAACGGCTCTAACACAGGAGGGAAATTAGCAGGTGGGCGGGGCCCTCCCCAGTGCGAATTCACGTTCCCGGCTTCCGGAGCGACCTTGTCGCTTCCGGTTTCAAGTCAATCATTCGCACTTGACCGGTAGCGATGTTAGGACGGCTAGCGGAATCGAGAAAATCGCTCCGGGAGCCAGGAGCGTGAAATCGCACTGGGGAAAGCCCCGCCCACCTGCTGATTTCCCTCCTGTGTTAGGGCCCTTTTTCGTCGTTTTCGCGCTCTCCAATGTGGATTTTCGGATTCAGCATAGCGAAAAGGCCCGGGTAAGCACAAAATCTCAAAATCGAGTTTTTGCCCGGACACTGCCTTCAAAAGAGTCCCGGGTGAGACCAGCAGGACTATCAGCTAGTTTATAATAAACTTGATTGAATCTGTAGCTTCTTAACTAGCAAATGGCATTAGCTGCCAAAATTGATCGATTTTTAGCAATGTGATGCTGGCTTTGCATAGATATCATGCATCGAAGGGAGCGATTATGGTATATGTTGAATGTATCCATTCCGCACATAAGCTAAAGGTGCCAGATAAACGAAATTTCTAGTAAATTATGTATAGATCTCGAAATCAGAAGTGAAAATCAAAATAAAGTTCAAGTTATTGTATCTGAGTACAAAAGCCAAAATTACACAGCCGCAAAATCATCAAAGCATTCGAATTTAAAAGCTTTGAAGTCGAGTTCTGAAGAAAAATGTTACGAGGGGACAGAAATTAGCTTCGATAACTCGAGACTGCAGCATAGTCATTCACCGAGAAAAAGCAAAAATTTGCACATATAAGATAATGTTCTCAGAAGTGTTTGTACTCACAATGCATTTATCACATGACCTGTGTAAAACCTGTGTATAGAAGTAATCGACGCAGTGAAGACTTTGCGAACACAGTACTATACTGATGGTAATGAGCGATAAACTGGCAAGGAATAAGTCAGACTCACCCTTTTGGATGGCCAGTGAATTTATCGCATAATATAGTGACCCGTGCAACAGAGCCACATCCGTGAAAATGTTTCTCCAATTCTTCAGCAGTTACACTATAGTCGACCTATAACAAGAAGTATGATAATAAAAAAAATCACGCGAAAGCCACCACCAACATTGCCAATATAGACGGAGCGTGAGTCAGCCTCTGCTTTTTCCTCTGGAGTCATGACAGCGGGGCTGCTTGTACCATTGCTACTTCTCGGAAGATTCATTTGTCCCTAGAAGATCAAAACTAAGAAAACAGGAAAAAATTCTCAGCAAACAACATGCCTCAATATCACTCTGCATTTGTTTTATTTTCCTTTGTTCTTCTTCAAACTCTTCCATTTGCTGCTCGATGGAAGACAGGTCCTAAAGTTTAGATATTTTGACTGCTAGGTAAAGGAAGTGTGTTTGCTCACTGCCATATCTGCGACACTGTTTCCGGTAGTGCTGAGAAGATCGTCATCATCAAGTTTGATAGAATCGTCCAAATCACCCATCTTCTGCAAAACAATGTTCATTGAACCGGAAGCACAACACACTGCATTGACGAAGAGTAGAAGCCAGAAAAAGAAAGATAGAGATGCCGCGACGCTTTCATCAACACAGAAGCGTTTAATGTTTAGCTTGGAACCCTCTCCGCCAAGAGTTGAACCCGAATCATCGCTAGATCAATATTATTCAGCCACTGCGCGAGTACTGGTCCGCAGCAAGCAAAAACCGAACTAGACACAAACTGGATGCGAACTCAAGCACATGTTGTCGTGTTTGCACTATTTACGAAGATGAGGCGCAAGAAACATTATCTGCCTGCATACTGTACACATAAAGTTATAACAACAAACGATAATGAACCCTCCAAAAAAGAAAAAAGGACGGATTCACAAAGCTTTCACCGACATCGACCAGCCGATTCATCGAATTTCGTCGGACGCGCTTTGGGTTTGTCCGTCGAGCAGATTCCTGCATTGTAGCATGGCAAGCAGAACTCTTGCATCTACCCTTTGTGTTGTTACCCCGTATTTGATTTGCTCAAGTTGTTTTTACCTCGTAATTTGCTGAACCATTGCCTCTAACTTTTATATAATCTGATTTTAAAGCTTATTTTGAGTTTCTCACTGAAGGACGTTAGCACTGTGACATAAATTATGCATGATTTGTAAGTCGTTCGAGTTGCGATCAACATAATTGGCGATTTTACGCCAACATTTTGGCAGCCGCTTTTGTATTGTGGCAAAACTCGGTCTGGATTTTCTAACCACTAAATGCTAAATTAGCTGGTACAACAATTAATGCTTGCACTAAACACCGCTGCCGTCTTCGTATATACTTAACTGTTCTTTACGCGCAAGTGCTGTAGGTAGTGTAATCGCACTATATTATCGGCAAGATCTCCTGTCTATATACTGCAATCAAAGTGTCAGTCTCTGCAGTTGTTGGAGCTATGAGCGCTGGGGATGGTAACCTTTCTGAGGAAAAACGTAGTGATGCAGAACATAGCAACGTGTCTGATGACGAGTCAACGGGCACAGGAAGTACGAGCGAGGAAGAAGTAGAGGTCAGTCTCTTCGGACCGTGACTAGAATATCGTAATTTGGATTTCTGGGAGTCATTTTCATTCGTTACAAACAGCACTAAATCACAGTTTTCTACGTATTTTTCTTCATTCAGGTGGAGTTGATGGTGAAATCCAGAGCAAGGCGTCCTAATGCGGGGAATAAAATGATGGCACTTATAGAATCGAGCAATCAGGAGGATGAATTTTACAAGAGCGCCTACGGAGGTGGATTCAATGAGGTTTGTTGAATGTTTTCTCTTTCCATTGATTGTGCGGCTCAACGAACGCATGAACCTTCCTGACTGTGATGGCTGATTGCTTCATTACAGTCCTTTTCTCTTCACATCCCTTCGTTTTTCTTATTTCACTTTTGCCCTTACTTTTTGTACAAACATCTCATTGTTCAGCTTTTGCCCGCTCTTGTTTTGGGCGTTCATGTATTGGTAAATTGCTACCTCCTGAGCATTACAGTATATCGTCCAGCTTTTTCTTGTTGCAGTACCCAAAACTTCAGTGATTTCCAATCTCCCAAGTCGTACTGCACAGGCGGAGAATAAACGACGTATAACATTTCTGTTCATTTTTGTCATGGCTGTGCGTTTTTCTATTGTCTACTCAGGATTTCTTCGCAGCAACAAAATCTCTAGTAGCTCATTTGACTCGAATTCTTCATTTTTGCGTATTGGTAGTGTCAATGTTGTTCGGGTCATCTTTTCATAACATCATAGGTTGTGGGATGCGACTATTCAGTAACATCGAACTTGTTTTTGACACTTTCCATATTAGACCTTGCATAAGCAGTACTGTTAACAGTGATGTGCCAGCCTCATATCTTTTCTAGTGATAGATAGTGATCAGTGTGTGCCAGCACTAATTGAATTTCATGGAAAGTGCTGCCATTGTCTTCAACAAATTGTTTATAGGATGATGCTGATGACGTTTACGAATCACCTGTACAATCTGATGTAGACGAGGTAGACTCAGATTTTGACAAACCCGAAGAAGAAGATGAGCCGATCAGTGATGATGATAATGAAGAGAAGCGCGGTAGAAGAAAGACCAGAGGCTACAAGGTAAAATTTACTCATATGATCATCTTGCTTTCAAACAGTGATCAATCCAGGAGCCTCAAAGAGGCCGTGCTGAGTTGCTTGCTAAAAATAAAGCGTGGGCTGTGGCTAGAATGGCTGGAAAGGTGGTTGCTGCTAATACGGTAGATGCGAAAACACAAGCAGCACGTCTTAAGGAAGCTGAGAAAACGGAAAAGGCGAATCTGGAATCTCTGAGGAGGTACGATTTCATCTATTTCCATTATCCTTATCTGAATGTTGGTTGGACAGAGTTTACTTAGGACACTTAGAACTTTTCTTATGAATGTGTGACAAAGTGAGACCCAATCGCGCAATACGTGCCTTTGGCCCCGGCGAAATTCTGCTCAAAAGCGTCCAAAAGCGCCCATATTTCTCTAATGCCTCCTCACTTTTTTATGTGGGGGGATATGAGAGATTGGAGGAATTTGGGCGCTTTTGAGCGAAGTCTGGCCTCTGAAAACTCATAAGCTGTGTTAAACATGTTGTTTGGAAGGATATACATTCTTATCAGAACCACAGTCGGAACGTGGATGTCTTTTCTTACGAGAGGGAATTCAACATAACCTATATCTGGAGGTTACAGTAGTGCAGTTATTGGTTCAAACATCGTGTTTGCTCTTATTTATCTCTTCTTGTTTAAGAAATGTGATTCGAAAAGCATCACTAGGCGAGACCAATGATCCTTGTCTCTAAGTAGTTTCCCAGTAACCAAATCTGACTGTTAAATAACCTTGGTTAAGCTATTACTACCTTAGTGAAGCTTGATTAAAGTAAAGCATCATTGCTCATCGTCCGTATATTTCATTGCTTCATGATGACGGTCCTTTTCATCTGTTAATGACCCAATGGATCAGATTAAAATCATCAAATTTTCTCCATAAATTTCCTCCTTCTGGCCGTGATCTTGGGGTATGCTTACACTTACCTTTATCATCGTAACAGTTTTCCTCAGTCCTTTAATCGTTTCCTAGTGAAATTTCTACTTATTTCATTGTAATGTTGTTATTTTCTTCGAGCGTATATTGCGTTGGAGGTGAACAATATCTCTATCTCGTTCCGTTCCAAACAAGACACGTTTTACATAGTACTTGTAGTGTTGCATGAAAACAACCTCCCAGAAATAAATTACCTATTGGACTCCTACGATGTAGCAAGTCTTGTAAAATATCAATCATATGTGTGATAGTTTCTAATCAGACAGCTGTGCACGCGCGCTACTTCTCTACTTTGGTGCTGGTTCTTCTATTTGCACGTCCCAAGGTGTTTTTAATGAGCCTATTTTTCCACTGCGGATTGTGGTTGAAATATCTCTCTACAGCGTTGGGTGCCTGTACTGCCAATGTTTTAGTTCTTTCATACATTCCTTCATAAAGCTCACTCAGCGAAGTCTTTCATGATTAAAATTAGAAAGCTACTGAGTGACTGAGTATTGCTTATGTTCACCAACAAGGCGTACCCTTGTTTTTGCTAGTTTATCATACAACTAATGGCCTTTGGTGCTACTTTCTTAATGACTTTATCTGCTTTATACGTACGGAAGGTCACCATTACTAGTAACTTTCCGCTGCCCGACGTCTGAGCCATATACTTGGGTAATTCGAGAATTTTTCATCGAATGAATGAATATCGAATAAATTCGAAAAGGAATAATTTCGAATAAACGAATATCGAATAAATTCGGAAAATCAAAAATATCGAATGAATGAATTTCGAATAAATTCGGAAAATCAAAAATATCGAATGAATGAATTTCGAATAAATTCGGAAAATCAAAAATATCGAATGAATGAATTTCGAATAAATTCGGAAAATCAAAAATATCGAATGAATGAATATCGAATATATTCGAACATTGGAAGTCGAATTTCGAATAAATATTCGATTGATTTTTCGAATAACTAAAGCAACCATATCTCAAACTTGCCGACATTCTGGCTAGAGCCGATCCAAACATAATCAGCCCCTAGTATCCCTTATACCAACTCCTAACTCAAAATTTTCCAAAAATTGCTGAAATCGATAAAATAGATTTCGATTTTGATCAGCATCCTCATTTACCCCCTGTACCAACTCCCAAGCTTGTAGAGATTTTCCAAAAATCGATAAAATTAAAGTAAATTTTTAATATCCATAATCAGCACCCTCACTTACCCCCTTGTACCAACTCTCAGCTCCGCAGCTCAAACTTCCCCAAAAATCGATAAAGTCGGTCGGTCGGCATCTAGTCTATACGTCAGCAAAAAGTCATATTTTACCCATTATGGACGATCTAAAAAGCAGTCGATATAAATTATTATGCTGTGCCCAAAAGATTCTTCTTCAGATGGTCTGAAAGAGACTGATGTACACCAGAATTAACTTTATTTCTTATCAGCATCAACAATGTAGAAGCAAAGGGCTTGCTCTACTTTCTACATCAATTAAAATCCACATATGATTTTTTTACTGCCGCAAGCAGTCGGAAGAATGCGACTCTCCATACAGTTCAAAGGTCATAATGGTTGCAAAAGATGCATTACCGAGTTTTGCGAAAAAAACGCGGACGAGCTTGGTACTCAGCAGTTGGCTGGGCTTTGCAACAAAGTCGAATGACCTGAATACGGAGTCATTCGAATACGAATTCGAATAAACATTCGAATAAAACATTCGAATAAAATCTATTCGAAACCCCGTTTTTTGATTATTCGAGTTTTCGAATAATATTCGAAACCTCGTTTTTTGGTTATTCGAGTTTTCGAATAATATTCGAAACCTCGTTTTTTGATTATTCGAGTTTTCGAATTTTATTCGAAACCCTGTTTTTTGATTATTCGAGTTTCGAATATTATTCGGAAATGGAAGAACTCCGAATATCGAATTTCGAATACGAATATATTCGAATGTTTTATTCGAATGATCGAATTTCTATTCGATTCGGACCCAAGTATACTGAGCCACCCTCCAGCTTCTTTCAGGAAGATAGCGTAGTTAACTATTTTCAAGGTATCAATGGCACCCAAGTCGCCGAAGTTCTCGGTTTTGAGTCAGTCTGCAGTCAGCCCTTGCAGTGCTGGGTCATAATATCCATTACAACTCGTATATGCGATAAAGCTGCTTTCTCGGATTTTTAGACAAAAGATTCAACGGAACGGGCGTGACGCGTGCGGCCCATCGCCAGTCGTCATTCAGATGTCAAATTGATGGTGAACTATGCTCTGACTTCGAGCGGAACTCTAGTGATTGACCCTTACGTTTAGCCTTGGGTTTTCACGAAATCAGAACAGGTCTAGATTGTAAATTGCCACTAGTTAGTTTCTGTACCACAAAAATCGAAGCTTATCGCTGTCATTCGCTTCTCAGTGAAAATGATAATGAACTGATTACTAAAGCCTTTGGAATGATTTGTTAGTGCCAAAACGTTACTTTTTAATCCGACGGATCAATTAGGTTGCTCTGAGTCTTTTTTTTCCATTTGGTTGCCTGCTTATCTCTATTTTTGAATTTGAGACTAACAAGGGAAGTCACTTAACTTAGGTCGGGCTTTTGAAATGAGACACATATATTTAGAATCAGCTCGGAACGCTGATTCCAAATATGCTATCCCTAGCTGCGAAGCGTTTCTCTGAAGCGAGTTATGAGCTTTTTTAGTATGTGTCATTGACATACAATTGAATATGGAAAGAAGGTCTTTAGATGAAAATCTGCCCAAAAAGTGGTGGAACATCAAAATAACATCAAATTGAGTCATTTGGCTTTGATAGGGTATAATATGCATTTGAACCACTACCTAGATGATGATACCGTAGCATGCCTATGTCGGTCAACACACAAAATTTGCTCAGGAAAAAGCTCATAACTCGCTTCAGTCTTCAACTCAGAGGAATGCCTCGCAGCTAAGGAAAGCAGATTTGAAATCAGCGTTTCAAGCTGATTCCAACCGTATGTGTCTCATTTCAAAAGCCCGACCTAAGTTAAGTGACTTCCCTTGTAAGTAACTATTCCGATGATCAAAGTAAGCCACGCAAGGTGGCCTTTAAACATTCGCAAAAAGTTTTACTTGGAGTTTGAAGCCAAAATGCAAGTCTTGCAATGAATTGAACATTTGGATCGTCTCCTCAGAAGAATACTATGGACGCCTGACCGCTTGCTTTGTCGTATCAGACTTTCTCATGTACATCTGCTGGGTTTTTTCCATGGTTAAGAAGACCAACAAGAGCACGCCAAAATTACGATAAACCTAGAAGACGTCCAGTTTTTTTTTGGTTTTTTTCAATGCTAATTTCGATATTTCTCGAAAACCAAAGATCGTGAAGCTACATGATCATACTTTTAAAGGTTTGCAGTAAAATTCAGTCATAGCTCAGCATAGCTTTGTCAAAAAAATGCCAGTTTTCGATTTGTCGATTTCGACAAAAAAATACAGCAATTGTATGTATAAGTATCTGATGTGGAGAGTGTGAGCGAGGGAGATCAGTAGGATCCTTTTTGAACTTCGATATGATTTTTTCTGATTCCCTTTTTCAAATTTTGGGTTCAACTTCATGCCGAACATGTTTGGTGCGAATCTATGAATGCCATATTGTAGAGCTTGCCTATCGAATGGTACCTCGAATCCTGTTAGGCGCATAAGAAGAAATGGCTTATTCTGGCAAAAAGTCATATAAGGCTAATGGGACAACCTAATAGGAAACAGGAACACTTGAAGTGGGGAAAGCATGCTCAACAAGGCCTAGAAGAAGCGACATCTTTTTGTCGTTACTTTCCTAGCAAATAGATCTAGAAAAATACTCAAATGACATACTGGTTGGGTTTTCTGCTTAAATAACCGAAAATCTATACGCACTGAGACTCTTTCGAAGTTTTCTCGAACATGGGTTTCAATCTAGAATTTTTTCCATTGCCTCTTACGATCTCCGAGCACTGATGAATAGGGCTATACTTAATTTTATTCGTGGATGGTTGAAGAAAATTAACTTTGCCAAAAAAAAATTCCACTGCTATTGCGAGTGGATAGCTGAAAATGACAGCAACTTGAAGGACACATACAATCATTCGTAACCTAATCTTCATTCTTCAGTGGAATTTTGCCTTTTTGGATGTGTGTAGATACTGCCACTGCTATATTATTCTTTAGAGTATGCTTGCACGCGAATTTTTTGTTATCGCTGTCGTTGCTTTACTCTACTATGCTTTCTCCAGGTCTCTTCCGTATGCATGTTA